TATCTAAATGTTACATCTTTATATTACTGCGGCACTTGATAAGGAAGAAGAGATTCGGAGGCTGCAAAAACTTTCGACAGTAAGATGACGATGTTTGTCGATGCCTGCTAATGATTGCTAAAAAACCTTACACTCACCTCCTCGAAGATCAGCACTCGCAGCGACATAGTTGAAATTATCCATGTTGATAACATCGATTATTGGAGCAACCACGGCTTTTGGATTCTGAAATTATATGAGCGCCCTTCAAAAATAGTCTGAAGGACTAGGAAAACCACAAAGTGGATCCTCACTTCGCTGATACGTCCGAGGAGTGGTTCCAACCACGCAACATTACATTCAACATGGCTGTCCAGAAATGTTAAAATAGGGGCAGTTGCGTATGCGGCACCCTTGACGCGAGAACGAATCAAGCCTGGACGGAAACTCACACATTCAAATGAAGGACACCAAATTCACTCGTGATGAGGAAGCTATTCAAGAGTTCAGGCATATACAAAGAAAGCCACCTTCACGTTTCGTGTTCCTGAGAACGGTGACCTTTTCAAGCTGTGAGATATCTTTGCCAATTGACTCTGTAATGTGATTCGTAACGAAATGAAGCATTCGACTTTCTGCTGGTTAAGTTGGAGTTAGTGCAAAAATTAGTTTCGAAGAAAGCTGAGCGAAGCAAGCGCAAAAGCTAGGAAAGGCTTGAGACTAATTTCGTGTCGATAACCTTCATAATAGAAAATCATCGATGAACACATACCATCATTTGAAAAGTCATCAACAAGGATAATCTCATGAATTAGCTGCGGAGGTGAGCGAAGCATTGCACTGTATACTGTGCGAAGCAGAGTGGACCGCGCCTCATTGTGATACGTTACAATTATGGATGTTGGTTCCATAGCTGCGATGTCGTACGTTAGCTGTTTACAACTGCAAATGTTAAAATGTGAAAAGCAGCTAAGTAGAAAGCTTTAGCAGAAATATTCAACATACTGATGCTCTCTACTATCGATGACGTCTCTGTTTACCGCTATTGCATCGCTGGCCATTTGATTGAACTTGTTTGCGGCGTATTTGTCCTGAAAGTAACCTCTAGGTAGACTTCTTGGGTCGGAAAGCGAGTTCGATCTCCTTTTCATAAGGATTGCAATGGAGGAACTATCCAGAGGACAATTGGCCATTAATAGCCAGATCACATCGTGAGCATTGTTTTGAGGTATTACCTACAGAATCACAGCAAAAAAATGGAAAGGAATTGTGCATGCGCAAAAAAAGAGCCGACATAGGCGCGGAAAACATGGGTTTTAGAGCAACAGTCCCAGGTCAAATTGGTGAGTGCCGTTCATGGCTGGGGGAGGGAACATCAGTACGGGACCGACGGCAGGTGAGACTACAACCAAGCTCACAAAAGGGGAGGAACACCAGGAAGAACACAGTGCTTGCATTTCAATTGCTCACAACCTCCCCCAGTATCCTTTCCCTCCCTAAAACTTGGTCCCAGGTGCTGTTAGTGTTCACCAACATGATGCCCTTCCCCGAAACACATGAGCGCCTCGTGGTAAGAGCGGTCAACCACAAAAGTGTAGATGACGAATTTGCTCAAAATGAAAAAAGGTAAAGGAAACCGTTGATAATCCCTTAAGGGCTCCCTCTCTGCCCCGAACGATAAAAAGGGCATGTCTGGACGAGTTTCCTGAACAAGCTTGCTCTATAGCTCCACTATTTCGCGCGTATTCGAATTAGCCACTACATCGTAATCCACGTTGCGCGCCATAGTGTGTGCGCAAGGTATCGTCCATTGGCTCACATTTGCGTTATTAGCTCACTTTATAAAATTCTAGCGCCATTGTGCACTTTTCAGCGGCTGGGACAGTACATCTGTAACATTCGTGAGCTAACTACAAAGGGACAGGATTGTTCATCACAACTCTATCTGGGTTCTTGCGACGACGCTGTCAGGTTTTCAGACGTAGGAAAATGTTTGAAGGTAGGAGAATAGGGAGACGGTGCGTTTCTCTCCGGGTCAGATCTCCGCGCCCCCAGTTGCGCGTTCATTGAAAGCTGTGAAGAGTACTTGGTGAGTTTGCATTAGGTTAAACTTATGCTTACACCATTGGTCAGGCCTCGCCTACGATTGCGGCTAGGAGTAGTCTAGCTTGCTGCGAGCAAATGAGGCGGTTTAAATTTAGGGACTGACCCGGGGGAGAACCGACTACGCCACCGGAGATGAGCAATAACCTCTCCAAGCTTGAGTTTTCCTTTCGACACGTAAGCCTCAGAATCGAATTCGCTCAGAGTTTGAACAGGAAGCACTTTTGGCTGGATGACTGTGTTTCCTTAATGGAGCCTATTAATCAGCAGCATTAGTGGACGAGGCGATTTGGAGGCGCGCGCGTGCGGCACACAATCCATGGAGGGGAGATGTAATACGCAACTATATGCGTTGATTGTCTTCAATAAGGTTGATTGCTAACTTATGAGGGACGTATGGAAGCTTCGCCATATGACTGTCGCTATAGTCATGAAAAGGCGAGTTTACACTAACTTTCTCTTTATAGAATGGTTCTTAAATTAATTTGGACGTGGTTGTTTCAGTAAAAACACATATCTTCCATACGAATAGGTTTGTATTCGCTTCTATTATTCCTTTTTATCAACATGTTCACGTTAATGAAAAGAAAACGAGGAATGAACTGAACAGACATATCCGTAAGGTCTGGAAACGTCTGCCAAACTAAAGAATATTTGGCCTTTCTGTGAGCCATGTGGTTTTTAAGTATGCTAATGTATGACCTATAGAATGAGTACAAAGACCTTAGGAATAAGTCGCGCAAGCGCAAGAAAAAGAGATGAGTTATGTAGGACGCGTTACCGCGTCACGATATCGTCAACGTGTTAAACAACAATGGTGAGGCTTCACTTCCTATACGACGTCAGCCTTTAGCCGACCTTTACTTGCCATAGGTATTACTTTCAGATTAGATCGTTGTCTCACAAATCTAAAATTTTCTTCTCCCCGGGCACAGTTATTTCTTCTCGGTATTGAACAACAATCCTCCCATAATATCTATAGTTATCATGCAACTTCCTATGAAGAACCATTGAAAAACAACATACCAAATCTTTCAAGAAATGATGTGGGAGGCTCCTCGACAGCCGATTTGGGTTCAATAGCAGGTGTAGATGAGGAGCCAGGAGTTGGCGAAATGAAGAGAGGATGTGGAACGCCAAAATGCTTTCCTTTAAATGAGTTGGGCTCTCCGAATATCTCCTCCTAAAAACAGAGCAATCGAGATATATGTCAGCAAAACAACAGATTCCGTTAAGTTTAAACTTAAACATACTCTTCTGTCGTAAAAGCCAGATGACATTCAGGTAGACGATCACAGATACCCAACGCAAGAAGTATGGCCGCGAAAACACGAGATCGACAGATTTTCGCCATTTCAGCAGAGAAAATTATTAATGTTAACCTAAACATTCCAAGGAATAGAAGTGATGTCAAACTGGCCACCGTTTATTTTCGTTTCAATCAATTCACCTACGTCGACGTTAATAAACACAAAGCGATGTTCTGGTTCACATTATTAAGCAGGGAAGTTTTAAACCATTACAAGTGAACTCGGTGAAAACAAAAGTTTGCTATGAAGCTTACTTGGAAGAACTTGAAATCATCCATCCTATTGACAGGCTTAAAAGAAAGTTAATTCAAAAATTTTAATTTAAAATGCCACGAAGCATTCCCGCATTCCAAATTCCCTTGAAAAGACGAGAGCGCAGCGAGCTCTTATAAGCGCAAACGTAAGCGTGTGTGAGAGAATGAAACACGACACCAAATCTATCGGCGCTACGGCGGTCCGCCCCAAACAGACCGTGCTAAACAATGGATACACTTGAACTCACCTAAAGCTCACGACAGCTCGACAAAGTGATCAAACTTCTTCAACTCCTATCTACGTATAGCCCAACTCATTTCTGAAACGGCATATTTTGTCCACAAACAATGGAGGGATTTGGTTTGTAATCTCGAGAATTCGGACATTACTCAAATGAATGAGCTGACTCATCAGAGCAGGACGCAAGACAATAACTTTGAGCTCTTACTAGCAATTCAGGTTCGAGCACATCGTCAGTTTTGGTGGAAATTGCGCAAGTTCTCTAAGCTTCATTACGAAAATTCAATGACGAAAGAAAAACATCGGCACTGTGAGCGCATTAAAAGGAATTCCAAAGTCCAGCAAGTTTATTATAACTTTCGGTACAAGTAGGGTGGGCACGCCGCATTTTTTGAACAGAAATGTATGTAAGTGGGACTGCTGCCCGCTACTATACTGTCACGAGAATCGGGGAATTCGTGAGCCAGGGGAGTGTAGCCAATCTAGGGGGTGAGGGGTTTGAGCAGTCACTTGACATGCGTCAAGCTTTGGCAATGCGCGGAGACCCCAATTAAATATTACAAGCTTTTGCAACACTGCCCTTTCGCTCCAATCGCCGTTAATCCCCTTCCTACCATTCGGCACTAGTGAACGCGGCCGCGTGAAGTTATCGCTCATGTTTTCCGCCACATATCTACCATAGTTATACGGAATGGATTCTATAATTTCTGCCGCCAGCGCGTACTTCGGTGCATGCCCCACCCATGATGGGCGGTGCTGTACCATAGATGAATGTGTTTTGTGCTTATGACTTTTACAGTCACTTTAGCTTAAGGCTCTCTCAGGGTGGTTTCTGTAGATTATGCCCGAAATTTCGTTATATTATTGAGTGTCATATTATGAGTTACTTCATAAGCAAGAATCTAAAAGTTATACGATATCGGATCGTCTATAGGAGCAATTCGAAAGCTCTCACCAAGGATGAAGTTAATGTAGTTCATAAGCAGATCACAGATCAATTATCAGAGCTTTATGGTGTTATCTTGCGGTAGCTATCAATTTTCACACTAGTTTCCTTCGTTTGTTTTTTTTGTGACACTCATCATGAAGATAAGTGGACATAAATTTTATGATATGTGATAGAATGTGTAAATCATTGAATTATAGTAATTGTTGGAAAGATAGCCTTAACATATTTCTGAGCGTGTTTATCGAAATCCTCGAGAGGACACAGTGAACAGCCATCAACGTATCTATCTATCCCTGTAACGTGCTGAAATGCTCGAGTTGTTTCTCCTCGACCAGAAGGCCTACGTCGAAGTCTGGCCACAAAATGTATGCATGGAAGCACTCCCGCATAATGCGTGTTTTGCATGTCTCAGTCAAGCGATGTAGTTCTACTTGAAACTCAAGACCTTTGACCATGCATAGAAATGCTTTAGTGTAAGGTGCACGCAAATTGCGGAACCCCTGTCAATAAAGTCGAATCTGAAGAAAAGTGGCGAATTTAAAGTTTGACTGAGAACAACAATTCATTGCTAACTACTAAGGCACATTAATAATTAACCGTTTACATTCGAATCTTTCTCAACCAGTTTCGATGCAGAGCGTTGAGTCCCTATCAGGAAGGTCTTTCAGATCGCGCTCGCTTTTTGAAAATAATGTAGGGGCACACATGGAACGCAGAACCATGGTTTATTCTCCCTGAGCGGCCCTCTTGCCAAAAAGGGATTAAAAAGCTCGAGCGCACACCTTTGTGACATCAATTTTTGGCAAAAACCTACTCATATGGCTTACTGATGGTCCTAATGGTATATGGCATTCAATACTAATTGCCGGTACCATTTTCAGACATCACGCAAGGGTCAATCAAAAATGCCAATTTTTGTCACCACGGGGAATATGAACCTGTCTTCGACCTTTTTTTTGGTGTTCATAGGGTCGCTCAAGAAAAGTATATTGTAGTTTGCTGTTCTCTGTACGTGGGCCCTATAAAACTGCCAAAAACAGAGGCCCTGTTATAGGCAGTCACGTAAGGCGGTGTGGGTGGAGGATGACGGCGCATGCTCCGATTCGAGACCAGGCCCACTTCCACAACTCTCAAACCCATCCACATTTTTCACCTCCCTGGTGAATGGCAAAACGGCACAGCTGGACGTACACGAACGCTCCAATATGTGAAAGAATCAAAGGATAAACTAAAGCAATTACAACAATATAGCTGCATATACGTGGACAAATCTACAGTGTAAAACAGTAAAAAAGCGAAAACGTAATCGTAAAATCAAAGGACCGGTCAGTGGCCGCCCGGTCCCGCGACGAAACTCTGCTGGGAGCCCCAACATTCAGCATCGCGGGTCGGGGACCCCATCCCCTACCCAACATTCAGCATACGGCCCCGTCTTACCCACACATTCAAGCATACGGCCCCCGTGTAATTTGTTGCACCGCAGCCGCTAAATCTCACTGGAGCAAATAATCAGTCGTGATTTTCGACCGCCATCGCCGCTCTCCTGTTTTGCTTATGTTCGACGATGTTACGTATTTCTCCCACCCTGCGCCGGTGCAAGTTGCGTACCGCAAGCGATTACAGTACTCCCACGCCTAGTTCTATTGGCGTTGACATTTGTATCTGATGACCACAGGTGGGGTTCGCGATGAAAGGAAATGGGAAGACTAATCCATTCATGACTAGTACAGTTCCGAATGTTGTACTGAGTTGAGCCACACATTTCTCCTTCCAGATAGGTGACGGGTACCAAGAAATGCTCTACATATCGTTGGAACACCACGTACGTGCCTGGAAACCACTCTGATTTCTCATGTCTTTATTTCCTAACAAGCAAACATAGTGTAAAGTGCTAGTGTACTTATAACCAGTTTTGCTCCGCCCGCTATCGCGCGCATCACACGGCAGGCTTTAGTGAAACTGAAAGACCCATGGAATATCAGCATGAGGCCCTCCATTAGCCACCTCACTATTGAATGTGTTAGACCTTTCCCAGTTTCGCTGAAGTCCATCGAGAATACGCGTGATAACGTCTGGAGCTGAACTGGCATAATTATCTCACAACTGTAAACATCCAGCATTCTTCTTGAATTTAGCGGTGAATAGGATTGCTGTCAGTCTCAAAATTAAAATAAACTATGCCTATTTACATAAGTGAAGAGCTAAGGCTTATCATTTATTTACATTCACCATTATTTAGAACCCCGAAAGGATTAGCGGTTTAATGAGTTTGGGCTTTCTTGATAGGAATGAAAGTTATCATTTGCTGAAGACTTGATTGAGTTTCATGCAACAGTATAGCACTACATTATAGAATTTGTAAGTAGGGACGCTCTAGTGTCAACGCAAGCTGCGTAACGGAATCGACGACTTTTGCGTTCTGACGCGCCTTATCAGCCTTTATCAGTTGTAACCACTTTCCATCACCCACCAACAATGTCCCCGTCCCACCCCACATAACACTTGTAAGTATGGTTGCTCTGGTGTCAACGCGAGCCAGGTAACGGAATCGACGACTTTTGCGTTCTGACGCCCCTTATCAGCCCTTATCAGTTGCTATCGCTTCCATTCATGTACCACCAATGTCCCGGGACCACCCCACATAACACTTGTAAGTATAGACGCTCTAGTACCAATATGAACGACAAAACGAAATTGGCGATGCTCGCTTTCTAGCCCCTCTTATCAGCTATTATCAGTCGTTATCAGTTCCTATCACGTACCACTTGAGTCCCCATCCCACCCCCTATAACATATGTAAGAACCATGGCGCTATCGTTGCTGTGACCCGAGCTACGAATTTCGTGACAAACACACACACACACACAGACCTACACACACACAGACATACTTAGCGAATTATATATAGTAGGATGTTTCGCACAGAACAATCATTGATGCTATTATGCATTGTGCAGTGCAGTGAGGGATCCGATGGGACGAAGTTCGCTTGGTACCTGAGGGAAGAGAGAGTTCTAATTCGTGAGATAGTTTTCATCATGAACTGCTTCAGTAGTTTCCGTCTCGCAGCAGACCTTGTTCTCGAGTTGTCAGTTGATCTATTAGCATTTGTAGATATTTACATAGATATAGAACTCTGACACGAGGATATCCTTGAGGATGACTTGTGCTGAAAGTGAGGGCGCATACTTGTACATGATAGGCCATGGGATTTATTTATTCTTTCCGTAAGAGGTGTCCGTAGAATGTAATTCAATTCAACTGGAGATGATCCGCTTACAGGAGCCTTTGTGTTACTTTAGTTCTACCCGTAGTCATTCAATCGAAAACGGGGTGCCGAGATAGCGTAACTAGCCGTGAGAGTACTGTAATCGCTTGCAGTACGCAATCGCACGGGCGCAGGGTGGGATAAAATACGTAACATCTGTTACTCTAACCTCTAGATGTTTGCTTTTTAGAAAGCGTTTGTTATTGAAGACATACCGCTGTTCATGATCCCGTTTCGTTGCACATAGGACATCTCACCACAATCGAAAACATTCCACCACTTTGATGGGGGCTTCTCCTCATTGTTTGTTTTGTCGCCATTATATACCATTGTGACCGCGTCTATCGAGAAAAACACCCTTCCTGCACCTCGCTTTTCTCAAGAGCACATAGGTCTACTGAATTCGAATTAAGGTTTAAGAAAGCTGGCTCTCTTACAATTCTATTTTTAGTCTCAAATTTTGGTTACCTGTTGTGTCTCAATGAAGAAATCTGCTTCTTCTTTGTTCCT